TCCATTTAGCACATTGAACAGTTGAATAAGGAGCATATGGATGAAAAGAAGAAGGTAGTATAATCATTAACCTGCGAACAGGTGGGGCAGAAGCAAATGTCCCCATGCAACTGCAAAGTTCAGCGAGAATTCCTAGAAACGAGGGATTGGTTTACTCTGCTTGGGAGAGGTTGGATAAATTGCTCTCCAGATGGCCTACCTCCTATTAACTTAAGAGACTCGTTTACCTAACCGGACTGAGGATTTGGCCATTCATTGTCACGCAATGAATAGTTCCTTTAATGTCCCAACCTATTGTAAGGTCCCAGAAGTTTCCCCGAGCCACAGAGATGCCAAAGAGTGAGACTCGAGACGAGGGCTTGCAAAAATAACCGCTTTTTTATTCCTTGGCCAAAGCAAAAAGTCTGGGTGAATACTATGTCCAAAACATACAGACAAAATGCATGTAAGGAATAGCCACACTCTGCGAGAGGGGCTCGGAGTATTATATACATTTTACACTGAATCCAATCAGAGACAAAGGTTCGTTATTAATGTAGGCAATGGTTTGCCCATGCCCTCCCCTTCTTTATCCGTGGAGCGTTCTTTGTCCGTGCTCTGTCCATACTTTGTTATTTTACACAGTATCCCTTGTCTTTGTGTATTCATACTCCTGGGCAGCCCCCTCTTATCTTTGGAGCAGGATGTTCCTGGGAGTTGTCTCCAAGGATGTGTCTAGCTCTGAAGCAAATTGCAGAGACGAGAAACCAGATAGAAAAGGAAACAATTCTCTTACAGAATGAATTCCTAACAAATGATTCCCATCCTTAGCAAAAATAGTACATGCAACTTCTCTAAAGGCTAGATTGATTCATGTCAAAATGTCCTTTCACTATAAAAGATCCTTGTCCATCCTTGGCAACTTTTTAAAGACTTATGGACTTCAATTCCCAGAATTCCTCAGCCAGCCATGGTCATTAAGTGAATCCAGCTACTCCTATTGACTTGGCTTTGTCAGATGGTCGCTGGGAATGTCACAAATGGTGATCGCTTTACCCTGGGATGCTGCAACTGTCAAAAAGACTTGTCGGTTGCCAAGCTGGCTGGGGAATTCTGGAAGTTGAAGTCCACACGTCTCAAAAGTTGCCAAGGTTGGACACCTCTGCTGTAAAAGGTAAAGATAGAGTAAAATTTGGAGAGGGGAGCCATGGATGAAAGTACACATCTTTTGTTTTTTACCAAGAAGTAATCTGTGTCTGTCCAGACACAGAGACATATTATTGCTTGCTAAAAAGAGAGACATTACTGTCTGTCTGTCTAATTATCTATCTATCTATCTATCTATCTATCTATCTATCTATCTATCTATCTATCTATCTAGAAGCTACCTGATTCCCTAAAATTCTTGCCATCTTCCAATTGAAAAAAAAAAAAAGAACAATGCAAAACCAGAAAAGAAATTTTTTTGAAAACAATTTTATTGGTTTTTAAAGACAGACAAAACAAACAAAACATAAAAACATCCAGCTTTCTTTCATAAATGTACAAGCAGTGTGTCGGTTGGTTTACCAATTTTTTGTGCATCCATTTCGTACTCTCAATTACAGTTACATCACATAATAACTCATATTATCAATCAAAGAATAAGTACCCTAGTATCACTATTAAACAATCATTTGACTATAATTTTATTCATTCATACTTTGCGAGATAAATATAATTTACTTAGTTTATTTTATAACAATTCATATAATCCTACCAGATCTATCCTAAAAAACATTTTATAGATATGATATCAAAAAAAAAAAAAGAAATATATCTTTATATATTCATTATTTTCTGAAATTCTAGATATTCTATTATTGTGTAATATTATCTAACCATTGATAGAAAAGGTCCCAAATTTTATAAAATTGTTTATCCTCTTGTTCTCTGATTTCAAATGTCAATCTACTCATTTCAGCACATTCCAATATTTTCTTAATGATTTCTTCCTGCGATGGTATTTTCTCATTTTTCCAATTTTTAGCAAATACAATCCTAGCCGCTGTTAATACATTTACAATCAGGTATTTCAATTCTTTACTATATGTATCAGGTAAAATTCCCAATAAAAAAATCTCTGGTTTCAAGCCTATATGTTTCTTTGTCATTTTTTCCAACCACATGCGAATTTTAGTCCAATATTTTCTAGCATCCTCACAAGTCCACCACATATGGTAGTATGAGCCAGGTATCTGATGACATTTCCAGCATTTTTCAGATTTATTCTTGAACATTCTTGCTATTCTTGTCGGGGGAAGACCAGAAAATAAATCTTGAGTGGTCTGAAGATAAGCATCTAAACAGAAAACCCATCACCTTGCCCCAATAGCTACCTGAAAGTCGTCGAGTGGCAGCCATCTTGAGTTTCCCTGCTACAGTTTTCTCAGCTTGGCAATTTTAAGACCCGTGGACTTCCAACTCTTAGAATTCCCCAACTGGCTTCACCAGCTGGGGAATCTTGGCAGTTGAAGTCCACATATGTTAGAGTTACCGAGGTTGAGAAACCCTGCTCCAGACAGTTTTCTAATAACCAAACTGCACCTTTTTAACATGTTCCATTGGATGAAAGGAGAAATTATTCCTTGTGCAGGTCCAGAGTTTAAAATAAAACATAGGGCACACCTGGATTTTTAGAAGGAGTTGGTCAACCTCTGATGTAATCCAAGATTTGCTTCTCCACAATGGCTACCCAAATTCCCCTGGGAAATCACAGAAGGATGGGACAGGCCCAAAGACAATAGCATTTTTCCTGTAACCCATCCCCCATATCCTGAATAGCAAAAAAGATATGATTACACAAGCTGGGAAAAAGGAACCTGAGATTACTCACACCTAATAATAAAAATACTATAAATAAATCAATAGAAGTAATTCATTACTGCCAAGTTCCCAGTTCAGTTGGGAGCTTAGCTGTTTTTTAACTACCTTTGATGTCATCCTTATCAGGGGGAAATTACAGTACTTCCCCTATGTTGCACAGGACTCTACAATCTTTCTGGGGCAAAGGATGAGTTTTATCTAACATTCCGTTGATGGCAGGGAAGAAGTTGTCCCAAAGAACCATGTCTCTATATTGCAGAATTTTTAAATACATGGCTGTGGAACAGTGGTGGGATTCAATTTTTTTTACTACCAGTTCTGTAGGTGTGGCTTGGTGGGCTTGGCTTGGCGGGGGTGGCAGGGGAAGGATACTGTAAAATCTCCATTCCCTCCCCACCCCACTAACCTGCTTTCCAGCTCCGTTCTCCTGTGCAGGGCAACCAAAGAAGACCCAGCCAATGATCAGCTGGGACTCAATGGGAGGCAGAGAATAGATGGGGGAGGGGCCAGTCAGAGGTGGGATTTGCTGGTTCTCCGAACTACTCATAATTTCCGCTACTGGTTCTCCAGAACTGGTCAGAACCTGCTGAATACCACCTCTGATCTGTCTTGTCTGTCTGTCTGTCTGTCTGTCTGTCTGTCTGTCTGTCTATCTATCTATCTATCTACCTACTTACTGGCTACCTGCTTTACTACTGGCTCTGTGGGCGTGGCTTGGTGGGCATGGCAGGGGAAGAATACTGCCAAATCCCCATTCCCTCCCCACCCCACTAACCTGCTTTCCAGCTCTGTTCTCCTGTGCAGGGCAACCAAAGAAGACCCAGCCAATCAGCTGGGACTCGGGAGGCAGAGAACAGATGGGGCGGGGTCAGTCAGAGGTGGGATTGGCCGGTTCTCGGACTGACTCAAAATGTCTGCTACCGGTTCTCCAGAACTGGTCAGAACCACCTCTGCTGTGGAAGCAATACACATGACAAAAGCAGCTGTAGGAACCTCAACAAGCTGGGAAACTGGCAAAATTGTGCATGTGGTTTTCTTCAAGATGACCACACTTCCAGCTGGAAGTTGGAAAGAGCAGTTGAGGAGGCCTTGATGTCCTCCGGGTGAAGTCATCAGAACGTTTCACTTTTCAGAGATTCTCCCAAGTTCAAAAGGAACTCGAATTGCCAAAATCAAATTCACAGGACACGCAGCCCTCAAAGAAATAACATTCTGCTTGCACATTAACCTGGTTTATTATGGAAAATCTAAGAGAACCCAGCATCAGATACAGTCCCTGAGGTGAGGAACAATCATTACAGGTAGTTCTTGACTTAAAACCTTTCGTCAATGGCCATTTGAAATTACATTGCCCCTGGAAAAAGTGACTTATGACTATTTTTCGCACTTACAACCTTTGCAATGTCCCCATGATCACATCGTCAACATTCAGACGCTTGGCAATTGATGTGTATTGGTGTCCATTCCAGTGTCCCATGGTCATACGATCATCTTCCGCGAACTTCTGACAAGCAAAATCACCGGGGAAGCTGTTACTAGCTTAATAGTTGCAGTGATGCACTTAACTGTGGCAAGAAAGGTCATAAAATGGGGAAAAATTCACTTAGCAACTGTCTCACTTAGCAAAGGAAATTGTGGGCTCAGTTATGGTTGTTAAGTCAAGAACTTCCTGTACAATAACAACATTGCAATAGATGTGACCAGAGGTAAGGCTGGAACTTGGAGATGTATATTTATTTTATTTTTTATTTTATTTTATTTATTTTAATTTATTTATTTATTTATTGAATTTATATTGCCGCCTATTCGCCCATGGCAACTTGAGACAGCTTACACAATGTAAAACCATATTTAAAAAAAACAACAATAAAAACTAACTAAACTAAAATCTGAATGTATGAGAGGCTTCAGCACAAGTCCAAAAACTCAGAAGAGAAAACCTCTGGTTCTGGTGACTGACCCAGATTGGATCCTGCAACATTATCCTGGAACACGTATATTTCCCTTCATTCGTGAGAATTATTGTTTGGTTTGGAACAATACTTTTAATGATCAGAAGTGGAAAGATCTAACCACAATTTGTATGCTATGAGGAACTAATTTGGCATGTTATTTAGTTGGTCAATAATTTTCCTAGGCAAATCAATCATCAGTTCTATAAAAAGGGGAAAAAGAGGCCTTGAACTTGAATGGATCACATCTGACAGATCTCGGATTTGTTACGTAAGTTGTGATGAATTTCTTTAAGCATAGATGCTGGACATCCACTCTTTTATATTATTCCTTTTCTCTCCTTGTTTCTGTTTTCAACATCCAGATTAGTGTTATTTTCAAAAGCTGCCAAATTATTTTGTAGGTGAATGGTTTCTGAATGGTTAAGAGATAATTTTCTAAATTTACTTGTGGGATTTCAAATCTGAACTGGTCCAGGGCTAAATAAACGAAGGAAGACAGCGTAAAGTGTATTCAATTGGTTTGCATACTTCTAGATGAACAATGGAAAATGTAATACTTTTTTACCCCCTAAGAGGCTGGGAAAGACTTGGAGAAAGAATGGACAGACAACTTATTTAAAATATGTGGAAATTCCCCACCCTTCTTTATTGAAAGTTCTTGGAGCTCAGCACTCACAATTGGACTTTTTAAACCTGGAAGCTCAGTTTGACATTTTTCGCTAACCAGAAATGATTCAGCGGGCCAGATTTACCCTGTGGCAAGACGGATGGATAATAAATTTTTACAAATAAATAAATAATCCACCCATCATACAAGAGCAGATCCACTCATCTGCTCATTGCCAACCGACTTTTATTTCCCCAGGGATTGTGAAATTCTGTGGCACATTTAAGAGGCCAGTTTTAATTCAAGGATTACTTAGTTATTCCTCTTGCACGTCTTTGTTTTAATACCAAACCAAAGCAAAACCATACGGCTTTGTAAGATGAAAGGCCTGATTTGAAGCAACTGGATGAAATATTTGTTTCTTCATGCCACAGAAACGATCCCCCGTTGGAGCTGCTGCTGAGTTCGGCTCTGTTTGTTCTTCCCCTAAGGAACCATGAAGGGAGATTGGATTCTCTGCCTTATCGCTAGTCTCCTCCCTTGGGTCCAAGGTGAGTCCTTTTAACCAGGGGTGGGCTTCAAAAATTTTAGCAACTGGTTCTCGTAAGGTGACCAACTTTTTTACAATGAGAAGGAGGACACAAATGAATTGAAGGAAAAAAACAAAGCCTCTTGCGTGCGGTGCACTTTTGCACATGGCATCCTCTCTCAAACAACTCTCCTGTGTGGAGCGCCTGCGTCTCATAATCGCGTCTCACCACACTGTACCGAGCCTTGACGAATCACTATGTCAAATACAAATATGTCACATCACACACAACGGATCAGCTTGGCATCGATCAAATATGGAGGTTTACAGATTAATTTTCAAATATCAAAAAGGAGGACGTGTAGGAGGACACTTTTCAAGAGAGGACAGAACTTACAAACGGAGGACTGTCCTCCCTAAAGGAGGACGGTTGGTCACCTTAGTTCTCGGCCAGGTTGCTGGGTGGGCGTGGCCATGGTTTAGTCAGCATCCTGCACCACCGTGGTTGGGTGTGGGTATGTTTTTGCCCTCCCCGGGCTCCGAAGGCTTTCCTTGAGACTCTGGGAAGGCGAAAACGGCCTCTCTGGGCTCTGGAAGCTGGAAATGGGCCTATTTCCGGTTTCCCCCAACTTCCAGGAGGCCCATTTTTCGCCCTCCCTGAGCTTCCGCATGCGCCTGCACTTACCTGCATCCAAAACGGGCCTCGTGGGGACTCCTGGGAGGGGTGGGGCCAGCCAGGAGTCGGATTTGGGGTTTCTCCGAACTGCACAGAATCTTAGCTAGGGGCTCTGTGAACCCCCAGCAGCTCACCTCTGCTTTCAACCCTGAATTTTGGGGTTTGTACTAGGTGGTGTGAATTCTTGGGCAGAGGGTTGCAAGTGGACTGTAGGCATCAAGTAAATGCAGTTCGACTTAGGATATTCATTTAGTGATCATTCAAAGTTACAAAAGCACTGAAAAATGTGACTTATACATCCAATCCTTGCACCTACGGCTGTCCCAGCCTCCCTACAGCCACACGATCAAATTTGGGGTGCATGTATTTATGAAGGTTGCAGCATCCCCTTTGTGACCTTCCCAGGTGGTTTCCGACAAGCGGTTCATGGGGGGGGGGGGTGGTCATTGGATTGACTTAATGACCATGTGATTCACTTAACAACTGCAGTGGTTAACTTAAGAACCATGGCTAAAAGGGGGGGAAACGGCCACAATTCGCTTAATAACAGCCTTGCTTAGCAGTGGAAATGATGCTCCTCATTGTGGTCGTAAGTCGAGGATTACCTGTGCTGTTCTTTGGTTCCTTGCTGTAAATCCAGCACTCCCACTTGTAGGCAAACATCAGGAGAGGAAGAAGGAAAGAAAAATTTGTGTGGAAGTTATCAGGGCTGCCCTCTTGAGTGGACATTTTCAATTTAACAGATTAAGAGAGTTGGAAGGGACCTTGTAGGTCATCTAGTCCAACCCCCCCGCCCAAGCAGGAGACCCTACACCATTTATGACAGATGGCTACCAGCCTCTTTTGAAAGCTTCCAGTGGTCCAAGGATCAAGGCTGGTTGGGTCTACAGCAGAGAAGCATTTCATTTTTTTCTTCAATAATTCACATTTTCTCTCTCTCTCACCAGGAATGGTAAATTTAACCTGTGTTTCATGTCCTTTTGGAAGCCCCAAATGCGAAGCTAATTGCACAGCTCCGCAGACTACATGTGTTTCTTTGACAGAAGCCAATACACTGGGTAAGAGTGCTAGGTCTCATTGGATGCCATGATAGAACCAGTTTGGGGGCAGTGGTTAAGGTGCTGGCCTAGAAACCGGGAGTCTGTAAGTTCTAGCTCTGTATTAAGCATGAAAGTTGGCCAGAGAACTTTGGGCCAATCACCCTGAGACTGTGAGTTCTAGTCTTGCCTTAGCGGAGGTGGTATTCAGTAGGTTCTGACCAGTTCTAGAGAACCGGTAGCAGAAATTTTGAGTAGTTCGGAGAACCGTCAAATACTGCCTCTGACTGGCCCCGCCCCCATTTATTCTCTGCCTCTCATTGAGTCCCAGCTGATCGGCTCGGTCTTCTTTTGTTGCCCTGCACAGGAGAACAGAGCTGGAAAGCAGGTTAGTGGGGTGGGGAGGGAAGGGGGATTTTGCAGTATCCTTCTCCTGCCACACCCACCAAGCTACGCCCACAGAACCGGTAGTAAAAAAAAATTAATCCCACTACTGTGCCTTAGGCATGAAAACTGGTTGGGTGACTTTGGGCCAATCACCAGCAGGTGGTGAGTTCTAATCCTGACTTAGGCATGACAATCTGCTAGGAGACTTTGGGCCAATCACCCTCATTTAGCCCAACTCACAGGGTGGATGTTGTGGAGAAAATAGGAGGAGGAAGGAGTATGTATTGTATGTTCACCGCCCTGAGTTACTTATAAAGTAATAAGGTCGGGATAAAACTCAAATAAATAAAGAATACTCGGTAGAATCTTCAGCTAAGAAGGGTTGAGATGCTCTTTTACCAAAGCCAATGGAATAGCCCTGTTCTTCTCTATCTGCTTTTCATTCATTCTTCCCAGGTGGAAATGTCAGTCCCAATAGAGAATATAAAGGATGCATTGACTCACCCTACTGTAGACCTCTGACCTTCACCTTGACCACAGCTGCTGGACGCCACACCCAAAGCAATATGGCCTGTTGCTCAACAAATATGTGCAATGCAATATTAAGTCTAAATGGTGGGTATTTCCTGGGCTTGGAAACTGTTCCTTTTTTTAAAAAAAAAAATAGAATTATTTTGTTTAAAAGAAGAAACTATAACGTAAGAATTCTAATACTTTATGTAATTTTAATTATACTGTACATTGGCAAGGAGGGAAAAGATACAGAGCTTAAGAAACAGAAATCAATTTTAGAAAGCCTCTAAAGGTAGTCTTATTAAAGTCACACAATCAGTGACTTTCCATGGGGAAAAACAAACATCAGAAACAATAAAGATTTGTGTCACACAGCTTCCAAGCAAATCAAAAGTTTAGTGGCTCATTCCTGACCAAGTATTTACCTCTATCTTAGAGACAATGGATTGTTGAAGAAAGTGATTATTACATGCTCTTTGGATTTTTCTACATTCTTGTCATTATAGCCTTAACTCAGAGGCATGGGATCTATTCCTAAACCTTAAAACAACAAGGACAGAGAGGCTATTATCTTTTAAATCCACAAAGCAACACTTTTTATGTCAGTAGACAATACTGTATGACTGTAACCTTGTTGCTTGTATCCTAATGACTTTTATTGACTTTTTCCTAGTAAGATTTGATTGCTTATTGTACCCTATGACTATTATTAAGTGTTGTACCTGATGATTCTTGACTCTTGATGAATCTATCTTATCTTTTATATACACTGAGAGCATTTGCACCAAGACAAATTCCTTGTGTGTCCAATCACACTTGGCCAATAAAGAATTCTATTGTCTACTTTTTATGTCCATGTTCTAAGGAGGACAACACTACAGTGGCTCTTGACCCAGAGGTCTAATGCATATCTGTTAGAAATTCCGATGATGGCTAATGTTTAAACTGGGATAAAAAAGGTGGAAATTTAGAATGGAACTAGCAACCCCCACTCAAAGACAGCCTATTCAGAGTTGGATGGATCTTCATTGAAGAAAAAACTTACATCAATGGAAAACTGGTTAAAATACAATAAGCATTTAAAAAATATTTTTGAAGCCAATAGTTGACTTAGTGGTATAGGATACTTATCCATCAGAGTGTCTAAGGGTAGTATTGGTAGTATTAAAAAATTCAAAATAGTACCTGGCTACACTATCAAAACTAAGAATGTTGTGTGATCATGTCAGCTATCCTGATTTTTTGACACTGTACCCTCAACAGATCCTTTGATATTCCTTCTCACTTGGATGCTAAGATAAAATATATCTTGCTTTACAGTTCCCCCAGTTGGTACATTGGAAAACGGGATATCTTGCCCAGCCTGTGAAAGCTACAATCAGAAGGAGTGTGAAATCAAAAGCCACGTTGCCTGCATCGGAAATGAGGAGAAATGCATTACTCTCGCAGGAGATTCTATTGGTATTTCTTCAAGTATTTCATCCCCCTTCTCCCCAATATACTGACTAGATATTCACACCAAGATCAGAGGTGGTATTCAGCAGGTTCTGACCAGTTCTGGAGAACCGGTAGTGGAAATTTTGAGTAGTTTGGAGAACCGGAGAAAACCACCTCTGACTGGCCCCACCCCCATCTATTCTCTGCCTCCCGAGTCCCAGCTGATTGACTGGGTCTTCATTTGTTGCCCTGCACAGGAGAACGGAGCTGGAAAGCAGGTTAGTGGGGTGGGGAGGGAATGGGATTTTGCAGTATCCTTCCCCTGCCACGCCCACCAACTAAGCCACTCCTGCAACATCATGCCCATCAAGCCACACCCACAGAATGGTAGTAAAACATTTTGAATTCCACCACTGACCACGATCCTTAAAGCATGGCTGACTGGCTCGGGAATTCTGGGAGTTAAAGTCCATAAGTCATAAAAGGGCCGTAGTTCCCCACCCCTGATGTAGGGTAAAATAAAAGAATCTACTTAGGAAGTTCAGTGTTGTCTGATTCTCACATGCAAGACAATACTTGTTTGATTTGCACATGCAAGAGGATAGTTCAACTTGCCTGTGTGACCCAGCTCCGATTCCACAATTCCCCATGGAAAAGTGATTCCCATGTTTGCACAAACGTACTTCTGCTTATTTCTCTCATTGCAGAGAAATCTACGAATCAATCCTTCACCATCAAGGGCTGTGCAACCACGAATGCCTGCGACTTGAAACAGAATGACCTGGTGCCATTTGGGGGGAAGATATATAAGCTGAGTATGAAAGCAGCTTGCACCGACAGGGGCACATGGGGTGTGATTTCTTCTTCAGGAATCATTTTTTCATCCCTTGCTGGAGTCCTCTTCATGCAGAACCTCTCATGAAGTCAACTGGTTCCTCTTCTGTGTTTGATAAAAAGGCCATCATCTGGATGGTCTCCAAAATTGCAAATAAAATTTTCAAGTTCTTTTCATCCATGAAGTCCAGTAGTCTTTCAAACAAAAGAGTTCTCCACTCCTCTACTCGTTGTAGAATACCTTATGCCACCAGACTTGAAATTCTAGAACTAGAAAACCTTGAATTACGCCGTCTTCGGTCTGATTTAAGCATGGTATATAAAATCATACATTGCAATGTCCTACCTGTCAATGAATACTTCAGCTTCAACCATAACAACACAAGAGCACACAATAGATACAAACTCAAAGTTAACCGCACCAAACTTGATTGCAGGAAATACGACTTCAGCAATAGAGTGGTCAATGTCTGGAATACTCTACCCGACTCTGTAGTTTCTTCCCCAAACCCCAAAAACTTTAACCTTAGACTGTCTACTATTGACCTCACCCCTTTCCTAAGAGGTCTGTAGGGGGCGTGCATAAGCGCACCAACGTGCCTACCGTCCCTGTCCTATTGTTTCTCTTATTCTTCTTTTATTTTTCTTATATGTACCCATTTCATGTATTCACAACTATGTATACACTTATACTTATTATCTTGTAAACAATTGGCAAATCAAATAAATAAATAAAATAAAATAAATAAAATGGGAGAAGGAATGAAAGCATTTATTTACAATAGCAACTTGATCTCCATAATTCTCCAGTCTCTCTGGCACCACATTCTCACTCCCTCTCTTTTATTGTCTTTTTCTTACAAATACATTTTCTACCCTTTGTTGGTTTAGCAGAGTGTCCTCTTGACTGTTGGAATTTACTATATTCTATAAAACATTGGGAAAAATACACAAGATTTCTGGCGTGGTCCTCAAATCATCTTAATATGTTTATTCTCCAGTCCTCAAGGATTACCTGTATATGACTGGAGAATAATCAATCATTTAGCAACCTTCAAATTTATGATGGATCTACCTTGGATAAAATCTTTGGAAAGATTTTCCAAGTGAGATGGGCAACATACAAATCAAATAAATGAGTAAGTATTTTTAAATTGAGGTTTCCTCTACAGAATAAGATGGGTTTCCCTAACAGGCCGAGCTAGATATGGGATGGGATTAATATGTTATGCAACCACCAAAACCTAATTTGATCAGGAGAGACTTTTAATCCTGAGATAATTTCAGCCACTTGTGTCATATGAGCATTAAACCTCAGTCCACCATGGAGCAATTTCTGATGTTACCCAGTCACTTTTTGAAGAAGGAAGAAATTTAGAAAATCATGTAGAACATAGTTTGAGGAAGCTACAAAGATCCTTACCATCTTCTCTTATGAGTAATACTTTCTGGAGAAGACCAAATTAAATTGAGTGGGAATAGCATAGCACAGCAAAGAATAGAATAGAATATTCTTTATTGGCCAAGTGTGATTGGACACACAAGGAATTTGTCTCTGGTGCATAACTCTGGAGGCAAGTAATAAACAAGTAATATAATCATAAGATACCAATAGGACAAGGTAATAGAAAAGATGAGAAAGATAATAGTAATACAGCCCAGAGGAGGTATTCAGCAGGTTCTGACCAGTTCTGGAGAACCGGTAGTGGAAATTTTGAGTAGTTTGGAGAACCAGCAAATACAACCTCTGGTTGGTCCTGCCTCCATCTATTCTCTGCCTCCCAAGTCCCAGCTGATTGGCTGGGTCTATTTTTGTTGCCTTGCAGGATAACAGAACTGGAAGGCAGGTTATTGGGGTGGGGAGGGAATGAGATTTTGCAGTATCCTTCTGTTGGAAGAATTATCCTTTTGGGTTCAGTTCCAAGTGGGGGGAAAAGACACTGGAAACATGGAGGCTGTTTGGAAGGTTTAATGGTGGACAGGACCACATGGCCTGGAGCTCCAGAGTGAAAAGGAAGGATGATCACATGATTCAAGGTGAAGGAAGAGATCAAGAAAGAGCTGAGGTGCTGAGAGTGCCTGGGTTTTATAACCTTTGTTGGGATTTGAATTGGAGCTTGCATTCTGATTGGTTGTCAGACTCCCATGAGGCCATGCAGGGGCAACTCTGTAGGCTGTCCTGAGTTCCAGGCTTGGTTGAGCCTTGCTGGATAATGATGCAGTGAAAGGACTTTTGGCAATTGCTATAGTTTTACCTGGAAATCTTTGTTATGTAAAGTATTCTGGCCCAGGCCTTAATGGCTCACCCATTAACAAAGGTGTGGGTGAGCTTCTACTTCTGAGGTGTGTTTCTTCTCTTGAGTTTCTACTCTTTTTAGAGGAAATATTCTGCCTTTTTAATATTTCCCAGGATATTTCATTTTTCTAGGAGACGGGTGGGTGCTAACTTCCTACACTTCCCCCAAGAGTGGGGTGGGAATGGAGATTTTACAGTATCCTTCCCCTGCCATGTTCACCAAGCCACACTACGGCCAGCAAGCCACGCTCACAGGACGGGTCGTAAAAAAAAATTGAATCCCACCACTGATACAGCCATACTGTATGGTAAAGATCCTTAGATATAAGTCAGTACTGTGGGAATTAGGTATTCAGCAGAGTAACGTCACGAGAAAAAAACCTGTGTCTAGTTGTTTTGGCATGCAATGCCCTATAGTAGTATCCCAAGGGGAGGGGTTGAAACAGTTTATGTCCAGCATGTGGACTATTACTCTAGTCTAAAGATATCCTCTCAGTGATAAAAAAAGCAATCATTGCACTTTCTGGAAATTACCCAATGACAAAATATGCCAGGAATATACAAGAGTTCCTTAATCAAAAACTACATTTGAGGAAGGAATTGTGACACCCATCATTTCCTCTGGGGGTTTGAGGTTTATCCATTGAGAATGCTCAAATCTGCTCACTTCTCAATTTTTGAGCATTTTGACTTTGACCTCATATAAAGCCTCAGAAAACAGGTGGATTTCTAAAGGATTTAATGGTGAACTTTCACTCATATCTTCTCGTTTCAAAGGGCAAATGTTATTTCACAGCTCCTCCCAAATGACAGCTTACCTACACAAACCACACAATTAGTTCCTTATTGGCATGGGTGTACCAGAGTCAAGTTGGTTATGGAACAAAGTGGGATGGCTGTTTTGGGTGGCAGGAAGGAAACCTGAGGCCTCTAACTCTGGGACCAAGATATCTAAGTTTAAGGCTGGAGATCTGGAGTCAAAGATGACTGATGTAGGAGTCCCAAGTTGGTGTCAGGTGGGTTCAACTTGATTCTGGAACTTGCTTTATGACCACAGAAGTAATGGTCAACAAAGAATGGACACAGAACTCTGACCAACCCTGTGGTTGGTGGAACAAGCCACTGGTGTCATAATTGTGTTAGCCAGTAATATTTCCCCCCACTTCTAACAGAGTGTGTAATTTACCTTAACCTAAGAAAGACAGTGATATGAGAATTAAGAGAAATATCTTTCAGCACCCAAATATAAAGTTGCTCCTAGAGAACATTTAACTGGTGACATGCAATGGGTATATAACTTTGGATCAGTAATGGCTTGCATGATTCCATATCTGATGCCCAAATTATTGAAAGAAGTTAAGGTAACTGACATCCTTGACCAGAGTGTGTTGGCTTAGGAGTAAATCCCAAATAATTCAATTGGTCTGACTTTCAGGTAAGCAGGGTTAATCCTAAACGTGGTGAATAGCAATAGTAATAGAACCTAGACTTATGTAGTGCTTCATAGTGCTTCACAGCCCCCTCTAAACAATTTACAGAGTCAGCCTATTGCCCTCAACAATCTGGGTCCTCATTTTACTGACCTCAGAAGGATGGAAGGCTGAGTCAACCAATAATGGTTGTGTCACCCACCTCACCTCCTAATAATAGGGAACATACCTGATTGCTAAGACTTTCTCTATGAGAAAGATGTATCTTAAATCTGTAGGCCATGTGCCACCTCTATGGTGGCAACCAGAACCTTGAGCTTCACTGGAAACAAGCTTGCAATCTATACAGCTTCCCCAGCAGCGGTCCGACCAACATGGCAACATCGCAACTGCCCACAAGATACGGGCAACTGCATTTTATACCCACTGAAGTTTCCAAATGATCTTCAAGCGCTCTTCTATACAAAGCAAATTTTAATGCTCCATGCAAGAGATGACAAGTGCATGGGTGACCTTCTTTAGAATATCCTCCAGTATGATAATGGTCAGCAAGTTCAGGTTGAGTTTCAGCAAGTGACGGGTTTTACAAGTGGGGCTTTGAATCCGCCTTTTCCCTGGCCTATTCTTGATATCCTTTCCAACTTAGGAAGTTTCCTCTGCTAGAAGATTCCAGATGTTGATGCAGTTGCCACCTCAACTCCAGCCTTCCATTCTCTCTGGTTCTGAAGAGAATGGATATATTGCTGATTTACTACCTCTTTGATTTTCTGCTGGCTGTTGGTAAGTTACCAGGGACTGATACATAGTAGAGCCCAAATGCTGGTCTTAAGCAGTATCTCTTTCTCTTAAGTTATATGTTATGAAGATATACCTCTAGGTACCACAAGACAGAAAAAACTGTGTGGTAGAGAAGATGGAGAGCATTTTTAAACACTGTTTAGGGATGTCGTGTGGTTATTTGATATCACAATATACTGTTTTGTCATCTAGTTCATTGGTGTCTAGTTCGATGAGTTGTGGTTCTCTGATATCTTCAGCATTTCCCCTCATTTGCCACCTTAGGTTCTTATAATTGGAAACATTGAGGACTTGTGTACAAATTAGAATCTTTATCATTAATCCTACAGACTCTGTCCTATAAAAACCTAACACCAGAAGGCCCTCAAAGTTACAAAACAGGGAATCTCTTCTCTTTCCCCAACAAATATCTGGATTGTTTTAGGCCAGGCTAGCGTGTTCACTTTCAAGAATATCCCACCCACCCAAACAGAATTGGTTCTATACCATGCAAAGAGCAAAGGGATGAAGTTTTCTTTTTTTGTTTTGTGCTGCTGATAAACATGCATGTTTCACTGCCATTTCATGTGAAGTGTGATTTATGATAAAAAAGCTGTTAGGTGACATTTCTGTTATCAAGTAAGAACAAGGAAGACAGTTGCACATTGCTTTGCTGATCTTCTCTTCCAGGGCTTGGCTTACAATGTGAACGATGCAGCAGCAAAGCCAGTTCCTGCACTGGAGCCCCATATAATTGTCCACATTCTGAAAAGGCCTGCCTGATCCTTACCATAGAGAACATTATTGGTGGGTGTCTTTGCCTTTTGAGGGGTGGAGAGGATTGGAATTCTTCCAGTCTAGCACCAGGGTTGCCTGGTTATTAAAAGTTTATGTTGGACAAGGATATATTTTCTCTCTGTCTTTCCCTTGTTCGAGTCCTAGCACTGTTGGCAGGGTGAGCTCCTGTCAGTCGCCTCAGCTCCTGTCCACCTAACAGTTTGAAAGCATGTTCTATGCAAGTAGGTAGATAGATACTACTTTGGTGGAGAGATGAGCTGGTGTTCTGTGCAGTCAGTCGGATTCCTGATGGCTCTGAACCTTCCCAGCTGTGGTGACCATTTGTGAGGTAGCTCCAGGAAGGGAAGGAGTCTTGGGTGATGCTGCAGGAAGAGACAATCCTCTTTCTCTCTAGTAAGAAGCCAGTTTGCCTTTCTGTGGTGCACGGTAGGAAGTGTACAAGCACGTACCTAACAATGCTAGAAAACAAGCAGCCAAACTACTATGTAATAGCATTGTAATCTTCTGGCTAATGTAACTACATCATACACTAATGGTAATTATAAACATGGGTATCTGAAGAGGGGATGGGAAAAAGTCTTCACGAAGACTTCAACTCATTCTTTTTTTACATGGGTTACCATCTTGAGTTTTTTTGGCCCCTCACTTCCACTATGGATCCCCCAGGGGTCTGATCTCCAAACATCTTCCTTTGGACATCACCTTATCTTGCTCTGACACTTGTCTTATTGTTTTCCTCTTGCAACCCCAGAGAACAATCAATGGTTCTCCACCTTCAAAGGCTGTGTGCCAACCAAGAGCTGTCCTTCTCTTTCCATGAGTTTCACATTTCCTTCGAAGCATGAGCGAAGGACGGCCAAGTGTTGCTACCACGATTTCTGCAACAAAGGAGTTGTGAAATGTAAGCAACTGATTTTTTTTCTCCAAAACTTCTGAATGCTTATTGATGGGTGTTACTCCTTTTGCAAGGTCTCTTGATTACATGAAATTTCAGGTTATTCTGCATTTTTTTTTAAACAAAAGTGGAAACCTGGGATGTGTAGAATTGTGCAATGATAGCTGAAAACATTTTTGAATCCTAAGATTGAGTCGATTCATTTATTGCTTAGAACAGTGTTTTTTCCACCTTGGAAAACTATAAGATTTGTGGACTGAGGAATTCTAGGAGTTGAAGTCCAAATAAGTTGTAAAGGCCGAGAAACACTGGCTTAAAGTGATGAGCAAGAACCAAGAGGCAATTGGATTTTTAGTTTCATGTAGATATTCTATACTTGCATGTATCTGATTGTGGATCTGAATATGGTGAGATCTGAATATGGTGAATCTGGTTAATTCAGGGCTGCATGGGCTAGGATCCAATAATAATCCTCTTTGAAGTTCTTGATATAACCACCTGAGAATTAAGTGGCACTTACCAACCTATGTGATGGCTTCTCCCAGTGGAAGACACAAAGAAAACACGAAATGGACTGAAATGCCCAGGATGCTTTTCAATGAATCTGGAATGTCAAGCCACAGAGATGTTAAACTGCCATGGCCAGGAGCGCAAGTGTGTTTTCATGGGTGTGACTGTACAACATGGTAAGTCCTTCAAGATGTGATGAACTAGAAATAGGAGTCATTTGGTTCCTATCTTCCATGAGGCCAAATATTTTGGGAACAGGTCAGTAGATCTTTGTAATCTTTTTGTACCTTGAAAGGAAAGATAGCCATACAGGTAATCCTTGACTTATAACATTTCGTTGAGTGACCATTTGAAGTTATAATGTTATAATGGTTATAATGACACTGGAAATTATAATGGAAGTTATAATGGCACTGAAAACAGCTACTTATGGCCGTTTTCACACTTATAACCATTGCAGCATCCCCATGGTCATGTGATTGAAATTCACTTGGCAACTGACTCACCTTTATGACAGTGGCAGTGTCCAGGAGTCATGTGATCACCTTTCGTAACCTGTCAATGGGGAAGCCAGATTCACTTAACAACTGTGGCAAGAAAGGTTATAAAAATGGGGCAAAACTCACTTAACAAATGTCTCAGTTAGCAGCACGGATTTTGGGCTGAGTTTTAGTCATAAGCCAAGGACTATCTGCACAGCGTTTAGAAATTTGATTTGGAAGCTTATTCAAGAGACTTTGTTGTATTCTGATTCTTAAGTTAAAAAGACAGTTCTGCTGCCTTCTTCCACTGGCTTTCCTAACTAGAATGATAGATTCCCTAAATGACAAGGTGTATGCCCAGAGGTGGCATTCAGCAGGTTCTGACCAGTTCTGGAGAACTGCTAGCGGAAATTATGAGTAGTTCGGAGAACCGGCCAATACCACCTCTGACTGGCCCCGCCCCCATCTATTCTCCGCCTCCTGAGTCCCAGCTGATTGGCTGGGTCTTCTTTTGTTGCCCTGCACAGGAGAACGGAGCTGGAAAGCAGGTGAGTGGGGTGGGGAGGGAATGCAGATTTTGCAGTAATCTTCCCCTGCCACACCCACCAAGCCACACCCATCAAGCAACACCACACCCACCAAGCTCACAGAACCCGTAGTAAATTTTTTTGAATCCCATCACTGTGTATGCCTCTTTATTTCACTGATCAAGAAACTTGAGGTCCTGAAATGTGGGGAAAGCAATACCCCACATGATGGGGACAGATTGCCAAGACAGGCTGCTAGAAAATTCTTTCACGTACTTGGAAGCTGGGTACAATAACTACAAGGTTTAGAAAGGAATCCCCTGGGGGGAACAAAACTTGCAAAGATTTTACCAGGAATTACCTGCAGATATTCAAGGCACAGGTCACTCTCCTTGACTGTAGAGAATCCAGATTCTTCAGAGGTGACATTTCTCCCCTTAATTCCTGCAGATAATCAGATCTTTGTGCATGCTAAACGTGGCTGTGGGACCAAGCAAGTCTGCTGGAATAAAGAACGCACATTTGGCATCCCTGGGCTGTATGCAGAAATTTGGAAGAATGTTACCTGTTCTCATGCTGCCAAGTGATTTGATTTAATGAGCGAAGAGGGGCTAGTCCCTTACATCGTCAGAAGCCGGTAGAGTGAAATTGTACAAGAATTCTAATTAACGATGAGCTCATTTCTTTTTATGGCGGAATAAAACCTTGTTGTGCTTCTTTATGACAATGTTGCTGAATTATTTGAATGCTTCCTCCAGATGGTTCCTATGCTGCACTTTGGAACTCATCTAGTTACTGTCAGCATTCCAGAAAAGCTCCACTCCAACAAATAACTCCGAGACAGACATGTTCTCAAAAGTTCTGTTTTATTTGGATAGTAAACTGGCACATCTGGGGAATCTCGAATCTGAAAGTTCCGGGGTTCCTTGCAATAAGTAAAAACTACAAATCCACCCCCTGCACCCATCATCACATCACATGCCCCAATCACCATCCGTCCCAACTTGAGACACCTCCTCACCCAGGTGCAGAAATAACATGACCTTGACTTAGAAAAAGAATGCTATTATGTCTAACCACACACACTCTAAGACAGTTACTTTTGGCAAACTGGAAATGTCCAACACTTTTAGGGTGAAATGCTGTAGACTCCTGCAGGGTCAGGGGTGGGATTCTACCAGTTCGCACCTATTCTCAAGAACCGGTTGTTAACATTCTAAGCAGTTCGGAGAACCGGATGTCAGAAGAAATTATTGGCCTAATCCTGTAAAGAAGGCAGGAAGGAAACATTCTGGTGTTGCTTACAGAAACTGCCTCTCTGTTAACCCTTATTACATTCTTGGCAGGATTAGACTTCCTGTCTCTGGAACTTCTCTGGAGTTTTTTCCCCCTCCTTTGCTGGTACTTTGCTTGTGTGGAGTGACCATTCAAAGTTACAATGGCACTGAAACAAGTGACTTATGACCATTTTTCACACTTACGACTGTTGCAGCATCCCCACATTCATGAGAGGCCAGGTGAGGAGACGCATGTCTCGATGTGAGTTGTATTGAGTTGGCCACACCCAGCCAGTCACATGACCACCAAGCCATTTCCACCCAGTCACATGACCACCAAGCCACACCCACCACCTAAGCCACGCCCACAGAACTGGTGGTTAAAAAATTTGATCCCACCCCGTGCAGGGTTCTTTAGAGCAAGTTTAGACTTGCTCACATAAAAATGAAGTCCCTGCCTTTCAAATGATAATCTAACACAGGGGGCACCAATCCGTGGTCCCTGGACTGGCACAGGTCTGTGGCATGCCGGCAACCCAGCCATGCAAACAAGTGAAACCCCATGAGGCAGCATGCAAAACCACACTTCCTCCAGTCTGCGGGAAAAACTCTCTCCACGAAACCGGTCTCTGGGGCCCAAAAGGTTGGGGGCCACTGATGTAACACATACAATGCAGAAAGAAAAAAATAAAATGGAGAAAATGATTACATGAAGACGACTCAATTAAATACACTGACATGCAGTATTTTTTTTAAAATAAACTTTATTGAATTTTTATTACATTAAAAACATAAAAAATATATCATGCTTATCATATAACAATCATTTGTGCAATATTTACAGGTATTAATTTGTGCATAATTATATTCTTATTCTATCTATATTCTATATTTAATAATTACCTATCCTTAATCTGTCTCCGATCTATGCAGCTATACCATTGTTCCCATACCTTATAAAATATTGAAGCTTACTTATCTTTTAAACTCAGCATTAATTTATCCATTTCAGCACAATTCATAACTTTTTGTATAACCAGTTCCTCTACGGATGTATATGGCTGTTTCCAACATTGGACAAAGGCGATCCTGGCAGCAGTCAATATGTGTAATAATAAGTATTTTGTGTTCTTTACGTATTTTTTTGAACATCCCCAATAGGAAGAGTTCTGGTTCTAGGTCTAATTGCTCATTGGTGATTTCCTGTAGCCAATTTTTGATTTTGAGCCAATATTTTCCAGCCTCTGGGCAAGACCACCACATATGATAATATGTTCCCTCTTTTTTTACATTTACATGCAGTATTTAATGTATAGTGTAGTGTAGTGTAATGTAGAGTAGAATAGAATGTGGAATAGAATAGAATATGGAATAGAATAGAATATACTGTAGAATAGAATATGGAATAGAATAGAATAGAATATGGAATAGAATAGAATATAGAATAGAATATGGAATAGAATAGAATATGGAATAGAATAGAATAGAATATGGAATAGAATAGAATAGAATATGGAATAGAATAGAATAGAATAGAATATGGAATAGAATAGAATATAGAATAGAATATGGAATAGAATAGAATATGGAATAGAATAGAATATAGAATAGAATATGGAATAGAATAGAATATGGAATAGAATAGAATAGAATAACAGAGTTGGAAGGGACCTTGGAGGTCTTCTAGTCCACCCCCCTGCTTAGGCAGGAAATCCTACACCACTTCAGACAAATGGTTATTCAACATTTTTTAAAAACTTCCAGTGTTGGAGCATTCACAACTTCTGGAGGCAAGTTGTTCCACTGATTAATTGTTCTAACTAATTGTTCTAGGTTGCTTCTCTCCTTGGTTAGCTTTCATCCATTTCTTCTTGTCCTGCCTTCAGGTGCTTTGTGGCAAACCCCTTAGATATTAGAAGACTGCTATCATGTCATCCCTAGTCCTTCTTTTCATCAGGCTAGACATACCCAGTTCCTGCAACCGTTCTTCATATATTTTAGCCTCAAATCTCCTAATCATCTTTGCTGCTCTTCTCTGCATTCTTTCCAGAGCCTCAACATCTCTCTCTCTTTTTTTTTACATCGTGGTGACCAAAACTGGATGATGTATTCCAAGGGTGGCCTTACCCAAGGCATTAATAAAGTGGTATGAACACTTCACGTGATCTTGGTTGTATGTACTGTCTTCCAAATTGGGGAAGTAATGATAGCTTAGATCAGGGCTGTCAAACTCCCAGCCTGCGGGCCGGATGCGTCATGTGCTGGCCACACCCAAGCTGGGTTTAACCAAGGGGGGAAAAGTCTCAATATGTCATGTGATGCCACCATGACAACGTGAGTTTGACACACCGTTGGCTTAGATGACCCCCCCCCCCCAAAAAGCTGATGGTCGCCTTGTTTCTCCTCCCAAGGCAGTGAGTCCTATCAGGTTGTGGGAGAAGGGAGAAGACCTCTGCCCAGACCACAAGTAGGGAAAGCCTTGTTGGTATTTTTCCTCTGCCCATTGATCCAAGAAGTTGCAGTCTTAACTCTCGGCATGTCGTTCTGGTCACTAAGCTCAGAAACAAGAGTTCCACTTAGTGATTGATCCTTTCTGCAACTTGGGAGGCCAGGAACTGTGCTGGCCTCCCATCTTCATTGTCTTCTTGTCCCGCCTACTCTCTCCTGCCAACAGGCTATAAGCCCCCATCAGTATCAAAGCCCTCATCCAGGAGCCAGCTCAGCTCTGGGTTTTTCTCATGATCTTCGGTGTTCAAAGACCATGCAGGGGTGCACAATTACCTCCTTCTTCTTCTCCTCCATCCTGATCTCTGCAGGTAAGTCCTTTGGATTTTTAATTAAGAACGCCACCAGATGAGACGTTCCCAAACCAGAACGTTTAAGTACAGGGGTTTCCAACCTTAGCAACTTTAAGACTTGTGGACGTCAACTCCCAGAATTCCTCAGCCAGCTTTGGTGGCTGACGAATTCTGGGAGTTGACATCCACAAGTCTTAAAAGTTGCCAAGCTTGGAGACCCCTGATTTTAAAAGACGTGGTGGCGCAGTGGTTAGAATGCAGCACTGCAGGGCTCTACTCACTGCTCACTCCAGGAGTTCAATTCTGGCTCAAGGTTGACTCAGGTTCCCATCCTTCTGAGGTGGGTAAAATGAGGACCCAGCTTGTTGGGAGCAAGAGGCTGACTCTGTAAACTGCTTAGAGAGGGCTGTAAAGCACTGTGAAGCGGTACATAAGTCTAAGTGCCATTGCTATTTAATACCAAAGATTCAGGTTGTAGCTTTTGGCATCCAGGCTGTCTAATTCTCTCCCTGCTGGGGGGGGCCAATTTTCACTCTTTAATGCAACACAGAGATGGTGCCATGTTGAGAGAGTGGAATGCAACTACGGATAGCCCTCGACTACTTAGCCATTCATTCAGTACCATTCGAAGTTACGACATTACTGAAAAAAGTGACTCAAGACCGTTGTTCACACTTACGACCGTTGTAGCATTCCCCACGGTCGTGGGATGTACATTCGGATGCTTGACAACTGACTCACATTTACGACAATTACCATGGGATCACCTTTTGGGATCTTCTGGCAAGCAAAGATAATGAGGAAACTAGATTCCCTTCACCCCCGTGAGACTAATTTAACAGCTGCAGTGATTCCCTTAACAAACGGGTCAGGAAAAGCCGTAAACTGGGGCAAAACTCACATAATACATGTCTCCCTCAACAACATTAAATTTTGAGCTCATTTGTGGTTGTATGTTGAGGACGACCTGTAAAGTTAGGGGATCATGAAATGGGATGCTTCGCTCTTCTCTTTCCCTGGAGTTTTAATCGTGATCATTAGCTTCCCCGCCATGTGTGTTGTTCCTAGAAAAGCCCATCAAAAATAGGCCGCCATTCTTGACTTTTGGGGACCATAACCAGTGGTGGTATTCACAGTTTTTTTTACTACCGGTTCTGTGGGTGTGGCTTGGTGGGCATGGCTGGGGAAAGATACTGTAAAATCTCCATTTCCACCCCACTCCAAGGGAAGGATATGCTGCAACATCTCCATTTCTACCCACTCCAGGGAAAGGTTACTGCAAAATCCCCATTCCCTCCCCACCCCTCTAACCTGCTTTCCAGCTCCGTTCTCCTGTGCAGAGCAACCAAAAAAGACTCAGCCAATCAGCTGGGACTCGGGAGGCAGGGAATAGATGGGGGCGGGGCCAGTCAGTGGCGGTATTTGCCGGTTCTCCAAACTACTCAAAATTTTTGCTACCGGTTCTCCAGAACCTGTCAGAACTGGCTGAATACCACCTCTGGACCATACCCTGGGGTTATTCCTGACACCAATGGTGGATAAACGCCAAATTGGTTGCAACTCCTAATATTTATCCATAGTCTTTCCCTTTCAGGGTCTTGTTTGAAGTGTGAACACTGCAGCAGTAACAGCGGTTTCTGTACCGGTGCGCCACACATCTGCCGACCGTTTGAAAACACCTGCCTGATATTCACCACCGAGACAACCATTGGTGAATGACACTCCTGGCTTGCTTCCGAGCTGACCAGTAATCCACTCCGGACTGGAAACGTGGAGGGAGGGCCTTAGTTCCATGAGCAGGGATGGTAGTTGAACAGGGTTTGTTTTATTTGTCCCCTGAAATGATAGACATGCCAAAGTTAACATGG